TTTGCTAATTCATTGGGATATTTTCCACATATCATGTGATCTGCAAATAGAGCTATACTGCTTTCAATTTGAATGCCTTTAATTTCCTTCTTGCCTAATTGTTCTAGCTAGAACTTCTACAGTGTTGAATAGAAGTGGTGAGAGTAGACCTGGTTGTTTTGCTCCAGATTTTATGTGAAAAGCTTTCAGTCCTTCACCACTGACGTATATTAGCTGTGATGCCCTTTTATCATGCTGAGGAAGATCCCTTCTATTCCTAGAGTGTTGAGTTTTTTTTATCATGAAAGTGTTGGATTTTGTCAGTGTTTTTTTTCTACATCAATCTACATGTCACCTTTTGCTTTTTAAAAAAAAATATATTTTATTGATTTTTTTACAGAGAGAAAGAGAGAGGGATAGAGAGTTAGAAACATCAATCATCGATCAGCTGCCTCTAGCACACCCTCCTACTGGGGACGTGCCCGCAACCAAAGTACATGCCCTTGACCGGAATCAAACCTGGGACCTTTCAGTTCACAGGCCAACGCTCTATCCACTGAGCCAAACCGGTTTCAGCACGTTTTGCTTTTATTGTTAATTGATGTATTACATTATTTGACTTGCTTCATATGTTGAACCACCCAGGTATTCCTGTGATAAACCACACTTTGTAGTGGTGTGTAGTTCACTTAACAAAGATTCAGTTTGCAGGTATTTTGTTGATGATTTTTGCATCTATATTCATAAGGAGTACTGATCTGTAGCTTTTCTGTGATGCCTTTAGCTTTGGTATGAAGATAAATGCTGGCTTTGTATATTGACTTAAGTGTTTCCTCTTCTATATTTTGGATCAGTTTGGAAAACATTGATGCCAGTTCTTAAATACTTGATAGAATTCATCAGTGAAGTCTTCTAGGCCTGGACTTCCCTTCGTTTGGAGATTGTCGATTTGTGAATTTTTCAGCATTCCTTCTTTCATTTTCTTGTTGGCCATGTTGAGTTTATTTTTCTTTTCTACAGTGTGCGTTCAACTCCCTGACATCAAAACCAGATAAGGACACTACAGTACAATATTCCTGATGAGTATGGATATAAAATTTCTCAATAAAATACTAACAAGCCAAATTCAACAGCACATTAAAAGGATCATACATTATGATCAAGTAGGATTCATCCCTAGATACAAGGATGGTTCAACATATGCAAATCAGTAAATGTGATACATCACACTAATAGAATGTGAAATAAATATCAATGTCATCTCAATAGAAACAGCATTTAACGAAAAACATTCATGATAGAAATTCTCACCAAATTAGGTAAAGAAGGAACGTGCTTCAACATAATAAAGGCCATCTAACACATGCATCTAGCGTTGTACTCAATGGTGAAAGTTTTGAAAGCTTTTCCTGTAAAATCAGGAAGACGATGAATGTGCACTCTCACCACTCCTAGTCAACACAGTACTAGAAATCCTAGCATAGGAACCAGGCAAGAAAAGCATAAAACATATTCAAATCCAAAAGAAATAAGTAGAATTGTCTGTTTGTAGGTGGCATGATCTTATATATTGAAAACCCCAAATATACCACCAAAAAACCTGTTAGAATAGCTACTCAGCTGCCATGAAAGGGAATTGGGCTTACTTTATTGCATTAGTTAGTTATTGCTGTGTAACAAATCATCCCAAAACTTTGTGACTTGAAACAATAAACTTTTATTATTTTTACCATTTCTTTGGATCAAAAAAAAACTTAAAAAATATATTTTATCAAATTTTTACAGAGAGGAAGAGAGGGATAGAGAGTTAGAAACATCGATGAGAGAGAAACATCGATCAGTTGCCTTCTGCACACTTTCTAGTGGATATGTGCCTGCAACCAAGGTACATGTCATGTCCTTGACCGGAATTGAATCTGAGATCCTTGAGTCTGCAGGCCAACACTACCATTGAGCCAAACCAGTTAGGGCTGGGTCAGAATTTGAAAGCAGCTTAGCAGTGTAATTCTGGCTTAGGGTCTCCTAGGAAGTTGCTCCCAGACTGTCAGCCAGTGTGCAGTCCTATGAAGGACTTGAGCAGCCCTTGACTGGGGCTGAAGGATTCACTTTTTTTTTTTTTTTTAAATATATTTTATTGATATTTTACAGAGAGGAGGAAGGGAGAGAGATAGAGAGCTAGAAACGTCAATGAGAGAGAAACATCGATCAGCTGCCTCTTGCACATCCCCTACTGGGGATGTGCCTGCAACCAACTTACATGCCCTTGACCAGAATCGAACCTGGGACCTTTCAGTCCGCAGACCGACACTCTACCACTGAGCCAAACCGGTTTCGGCAAGGATTCACTTTCAAAATGACTTCCTTATAAGGCTTTGAGTAAACACCTCACTTCTTTGCCAAGACCTCTTTAAAGAGCATCTTGAGAGTTCTTTATGTCATGGCAACTATTGTAGCTTTCTCCAATGCTAGTGACTCATGATAGGAAAGTCACAATGCCTCTTATGACATCGTCACACATTGTCATTTCTGCCAGGCTTTTGGTGGAAGGTGCTAAGCGCAAGGAAAGTGAAATCAGGCTCCACCTGTAGAAGGGAGGAGAATCAAACTGAATATCACTAACAGGCCAAGTTGGGGTAAGCAGTGGAAGACTCAATACCTCTAGACAGTGGCTTTCTAGATTGCTTGTTAAATTGTTGAATGAAGAAAGGGGTGGGGGCAGGTAAGGGCAGAAGGTGGGATGGGGACCTGGTGGAGGGGAGCAATGGGGGGGAGGGAGGAAGAGAAACAATTGTAATAATCTGAACAATAAAGATTTATTTTTTAAAAATAAAAAAATTGTTAGATGATGTTAAGTTGTTAAAACTTGAGCTGTTATTGAGAGCCTCTGCCGGCCCTTGCAGATTTGGCAGGTCCTCACAGCCTCTCGCAGCTTTGGCTTCGTCCAGAAGGTCATCCAGATGGTCATTCTGCTATTCGGTCTAATTAGCATATTAGCTCTTTATTATATAGGATATACTTACAAAATGTTGTTTCTCCCCTACTACTTAGGACATCTTAAAATTCATGTACTGGGAGGAAAACAAATGATAAAAATCCAACTAAAATGTGTGAATAATCCTTTATTTTTGCTGAAGCTTTGTTTTGGAGATGGTTATTTGAAATAAAGCAGTCATTAACCAGATGCTAGGAAATAGAAAGAAGGCTAATTGAATTGGTCAAAGTATGAGTTATATAATGCCTTTAGAACATCCAGCTTGGGGTTAACCTTTATTTTTGTTATAATTTTAAACAGAGAAAAATTAAAATAATAATATAAGGAACTTTATATTTTATCTAGATTCACTAGAGTTGTTTTTTTTTTAATGACATTTGCTTATCCTTCTGTCGTAAATAAAACCACCAATGTGTGATAGTTTTGTGTTTTTTTAAAAAAATATTTTATTGATATTTCACAGAGAGGAAGGGAGAGAGATAGAGAGCCAGAAACGTCGATGAGAGAGAAACATCAACCAGCTGCCTCTTGCCCACCCCCTACTGGGGATGTACCTGCAACCAATGAACATGCCCTTGACCGGAATCGAACCTGGGACCTTTCAGTCCGCAGACTGACGCTCTACCATTGAGCCAAATCGGTTTTGGCAATTTTTTTTAATCATTGCAATGAAATATATTACAGACCAGAAGAAATACAGAACTTCTCACCAAAGGGTATGTAAGTGGTTGAGCACTGTACTAGAATTAGAATGTGACTGAGTCATATGCTTGAAGCTCTAGCTCTATATAGAATCCCTACAAATGTAACAGCCACAAATATAGCCGGAAGAAGGATTGTTTTTCAGGCTACTCAAATATGAATAGAATTGTTATTGATGATATGATTTTTTCCCCCTAAACAATAAACAAATCTTGGTAAAGTTATGAACAAAAATAACTTGAAATTTCCTTGACTTTTTCCATAGGAGTAGTAGTTTGGAAATATTCATTTTGTCCTAAAATAGCAAGAAAAAATGATATTTATAAATAAAAAAAGACTCATTTTGTTCTAAAGTAGCAGGGCAAAAAGGTCTATATGTAAAATGGCTCAGGTTCTGGGTTAATGTAATTATAGATAGGTTTGGGGTTTCTTTTTGATTTGTTTCTTTGTTTTGTTTTAACCTACCTGAATCCTGAATATCCATCTGGAAATGCAAAAGTTTAGACCAGGATTTTTTTTCAAACAGTATGCTGTGGCACACTATTTAAAACATGCACTACCTGACTATTTAGTCAGGGGCACTGACCTCTTCTCTCTTAAATTATCAAATAAAAAAATGACAAGGGCCAAGACAACAATAGCTGTTGGTGTGAATGAATCAAAATTATATCTGTGTTTTGTCATATTAGAAATACTATGTTTTTTGATGTGCTGCAGAATTTTAGTAAAAAAAAAACAACAAACCTTGAAAATCATTGGTCTAGACTGTTCTTTGTTGTGTAGGACTGTTGAGTGCATTGCAGGATGTCTTGAAATCCTGGCCTCTATCCTCTAAATACAAGTAGTTATCTTAATCTTTTGAGAACTAAAAAACATTCCCTCCAATTTTAACAATGTCCACCACCTTAGTCCAAAACTTAGGTCTTAGTTGTATAAAAGGCGAGGAAGCCCTAGCTGGTTTGGCTCAGTGGATAGAGCGTTGGCCTGTGAATTGAAGGGTCCCAGGTTCATTTCTGGTCAAGGGCATGTACCTTGGTTGCAGGCACATCCCCAGTGGGAGGTATGCAGGAGGCAGCTGATCGATGTTTCTATTTCATCGATGTTTCTAGCTCTCTTATCCCTTGCCCTTCCTCTCTGTAAAAGAATTAATAAAAAAAAAAATATATATATATATATATTTTTTTTTTTTAAAAAAGGTAAGGAAGTCATGTATTAGAATATGAAATAATATGCAACTTATTTGTAATTATACATTGATTAAATTTTAAAATGGATAATTTGAAACTTAAAATTAAGATGACCATATTATGTTATTTTTTCTAGTAAAATGAATGAAAATAAACCAAGTGACTCACAGACTCTCGGTAAGTAACAATATTTAAAATATTTTTAGATATAACTTAAAATATTTTACTCATTTTTTTTATAATAAATCTCTTCAAAATGCTACTCAAACAACAGAAATGAATTGCCTGTGAACAACATAAACTGATAAACAAAAGCAGATCCAGAGACAGGGAAGCATTAATCAGACTGTCCAATCTTAGAGGGAAAGAAGGGAAGGGTGGGGGTAAGGGGGTGAAATCAACCAAAAGACTTGTATGCATGCATATAAACCTAACCAGTGGACACAGACAACAAGGGGGTGAGGCCATGAGTGGGGAGGGGGCGGTGGTGTTGGGAAGTTAATTGGGGGTTGAGGACAAATATGTAATAATACCTCAATCAATAAAGAAATTAAAATGAAAAAAAAAAGAAATGAATTGCTTGATTCATGCTTGCTTCTGCTATAAGAAGAAAATTTGCAATATTTGTATTCCTTATATGTATTTATCAGGTATTGTTTGTATCTTCATAAAATAGTATTATTTATTTAATAAATAATTTTTTTTCACATTTCCCTTACAAAAGGAAAAGTTAACTTTGAATGGTCACAACAGTCTTCTCAAATAGATACAGACCTTTGCTTTTAGTTGTATTTTTTTTTTTTTTCATTTATATATTGTATTAAAACAGTATTTATTGACTTGTTACCATGGAAAATGAGAAATTTAAACTGTTACTTTATACTTTTCTAGTACTTTTCCTCCTCTCATCTACCCTTTTATAGATTTATTTGAGGCTTGGTGCATGAAATTTGTGCATGGGGGTTGGGAGGGGGTGTCCCTCAGCCCAGTTTTGGCCTGCAAAGACACCAGCATCCCTCACCCTAGTCTCTAGCCAGACGTTCCTCCCCTCCTTCCGCACAGCCTCTGGGAATATGCTTGTCCTGGGGCCTCCTCAGAGCCCCGGCCCATGACACCCTGCAGGTTGGGTACTCAGAGGCTGGGCTTTCAGGTCTGGCTTCCTCACCTGGCATGGTGAGCATCGGTTGCCATGGGAGTCTTGCCTCAGGAGTCGCCCCCTTGGACCATACTACTTGCGAGAGTGTGTGTGTGTGTGTGTGTGTGTGTGTGTGTGTGTGTGTGGCAGCCTTGGCAGCAGTGATTTGATGTCTATAGTGTGCCCACCAGACAACCCCCGCTCCTCTGCAATCTCATCTGGACTGCTGGCAGGGGCTTCCAGTCTGCGACTGAAGGCTGCAGGTGGAGGACCCGGTACCTATAGGACTCTATCAGCATCACGAACTGGAAAAATCCATTTTTCTGGTTCCTCCCCTGCCGGGGGGACCCTGAACTCAGGGCCCCAGAGGCCCCTCCCCTCCTGCCACACAGCCCCACAGGCCCCTTCCCTCCTGCTGTACGGCGGTGGCTAAGACACTCCCAGTCCTCTGGCCAGAGACCCTCCTCTCCCTCCATGGCCAAGCAGCAGATCGTGGTGAAGAATTACGCCCTTCCGATTTTTGTCGTGGAGTGATGGCTAATTTACATATTACTCTTTTATTATATAGGATTTAAAAAATATATTTTTATTGATTCCATAGAGGAAGGGAAAGGGAGAGAGAGACAGAAACATCAGTGATGAGAGAGAATCATTGATCATCTGCCTCTTGCATGACCCCTACTGGGGATCAAGCCCACAACTCAGGTTTGTTCTTGACCTGGAATCATACTGACTTCCTGGTTCATAGGTCAGCACTCAACCACTGAACCACACTGGCCAGGCTATAGATTTATTTTTTTTAATTCCCTTTCAGTTTAACATATTACACTTAAAACTATGGCTTGCCTATCCTTTATTGAGAGTATCTATTGACTCCACATCTATTGATAAGGGAATTGTGTTCTTAAACCTCCCGCTGCTTTCCTGATTTTACTTAGACTTCTATCAACTATGCTAATAGTTCTGAAACTTAGTATTCAGAGAGTACCTTCATATACTTGCCAGATGTAAATACTATCTATTCTGTTATTAATCTATTTGCTGATTGACTCAATGAATGTGTTTATTTATTACAAAATATCATTTGCTGTACTAGAAGATGATCTTATATATAATGGAAGTCAGAACAATTTTACTGAATTTTAAACATTAAAATTAAAAAACAAGAAGTACAAATAAATACAAAAGTAATCTACTTATAAAATGCATGCCTGAAACTTAGCCTGTCCTGTATTCAGGGTCTTCACACTGGGTAGAGGGAGGAGGGGAACAAATGGAAAGCCGCAGGCTCACAGTGTATAGCAGATGCAGCTCTATCCAAGCATACATCATGAGAATTCCTCTTCTGTAGTATAAGCTATTTCCCTGTGTTTCTCTTTCTCTTGATAGCTACATGCCCACTTGCAGTAAAAGTGTAGGCATCAGGGATGAAGACGTTAGGTAGGAGCTGATGTTATAAAATATCCAATAAACAAATGGCAATTTGCTGGAGTTAATATGACCAGTTACTTTATATGAGGGGAGGCAGGAGAGCTAGACTCCTAAAAGATTGGGAGAAGGGGCTTTTAAGTATGGTTTATCTCATTAAATTGGAGTGAGGAAGGTATTTTGAACAGATATATTGGAATCTATTTTGTGACTAGCCTAGATTACAAATATAGAGAACCTTTTTAACATATAACATTCATTCTTGATTAGTTAAGGCAGGGATAGGAAACGTTCAGCCCATAGTCCGAATAAGGCCTGCAAAATCATTTGGTCTGACCCTGCCAAGTTATTAGGGGTGAATTAATTAAATGTTTAACCAAATATAGCAGGCTAATTTTGCATGGCCTGGCCAGGGAATGATGTTATAAATATCCAAATCAACCTTGGCCGAAGAAAGGTTCCCCACCTCTGAGTTAAGGTAAATAAGACTAGCTGCTACTATTATAGGCAATCTCTAAAGTCTTAACACAATAAAAATTTATTACGTGCTCAGGTTACACTCCAGTGTGGATTATTTAGAGGAGGTGGGGCAAACTGAGTTTCAGCTCCATGCAGTCATTTAGAGAGTTAAGCTCCTTCCATCTTGTATTGATCTGCCACCTTGAGATTCTCTGAGGCTTTTCTCTTCAGCTAGTGATTTTCTCATTGTTTTATTAGTAGGTTGTATACGTAAATTTTTTGTATAAGTAAACATGAGATAGGAAAGATTGATAATAATTATACTAACTCTCACTTCTATGTGCCACGTACTTTTAATTGTATTACTATATCATTTAATCCTCATTAAGACATAGTTTGAGGTTGGTACTGTTGTCCTCATTTTTTTTCTTCTTTTTTTAAAAAAAAATATTTTATTGATTTTTTACAGAGAGGAAGGAAGAGGGATAGAGAGCTAGAAACATCGATGGGAGAGAAACATCGACCAGCTGCCTCCTGCACAGCCCCCACCGGGGATGTGCCCGCAACCAAGGTACATGCCCTTGACCAGAATCGAATCTGGGACCTTCCAGTCCGCAGGCCGACACTCTATCCACTGAGCCAAACCGGTTCTGGCTGTTGTCCTCATTTTTAAGAGGAGGTTACACAGAGGGAATGCAGGAGAGGGTGGAGAAGCGAAGAGATCAACCATTGAACTCATATGCATAACTCATAGATCCAGACAGTAGGATGGTGAAGGTTGGGGGGAGGGATGTTAGAGAGGGCAATGGGGGCGGGGGGGGGGGGTGAAATATGTAATACTTTAAACAAAAAAGATTTATTTAAAAAAAAAAAAAAAAGAAGGATTCAGAGCCATAAAATGTTGATGTGATCTGTCCAAGATTATACAGTGAGAATGTAGATCTGAGTCTTTAACTCACATGTCCCTGACTTTACAATTGCCTTTTTAAATTTTATTTATTTATTTATTTATTTATTTATTTATTTATTTATTTATTTAAGTCTTTATCTCACTGATATTTATTGGAATCAGAACTGTGCACTGGAAGGAATGTAGATGGTAACCTAGAGATCTTACACATTTCCTACTTTATAGTAGTAAGGCTAAAGCCAAGCAGCTCTGTAAGAAAACTCATGGAGGAGGGTTTTGCTCTTAGAGTTGCTGTGAATTCAAGGAGCAGAGTGAGATGTTGAGTTAAGTGCTATTGGGAGAATTCATCTTGAAAGTTGAAAGCCTAGGGTGGATCCAAAAAACAAAGAGAAGAGAGGAAAGAAGAGGACACCTTATGCTTGGACATTGCCCATTTCTTCCTAACACTCCTAGTTTTTCTCTGGTCCTACTCTTGGAGAAACGAAAATGTCAGCATCTGTGTGGCCCAGTAATTAAAGACCAGTGCTAATTTAAACATTGGTTATAATTGCTATTCTGTTTCAGTCTACCTAAACTGGGATTTCTATGCAGAGGTAAAGGAAAGAGTTGCACATATATCTGAGATGACTGTTGGTTTGTGTAAAATATTTACCTGACTTCGTAGGAAATGAATGAAATGGGTGAGAGGCATGCTCACACATGAGTAAAAAGAGGCAGAGGCAGGATTTTAAGCTGGTGTGGATTCTTTCAGCCTTAGGAAAATGCAGCTAGGGGGCTCTCTGTAGACTGGCAGTCTGTTCCTGACATGGGTGAACTGAAGAACCTGTAGTTTGTGTGGTAGTTCCTCCTAAAAGCAATTATCTGATTTACCATATGATGTCAATTCTTTGTGGTCTATGAAAAACACTTCACCATATTTTGAAGGGAATATGAGCAGGAATGTTGATAGCTTATGCATTACTTAGACCCTGCCATCTTGCCTTGGACTCAAAGGAGAATGACAGCATAGTCATGATGGTTTCAATGTATGTGATGGTGGGAATATAGATATTGGATTTTGGAGCTTCTGTGAATTGCTGAGGATATTAAACCCTCAGGTGTTTTTTTTTTTTTTTTCCCATCCATTGCAGATAAATGTCTGGTATTTCATATTACAAATTTATATTGCATGTACATTTGAGAAATATAGTATACTGTTAACAAAATTACTAATTCCAGCTCATATTTTGTCCAAAGTAATGCATA